CCACCTCCTCCATCAAAGCACTAAACGGCGTTGGCGTCGGCGCGCTCTCCCACCTTCTGGTTTTTAACGTCTCTTTCAACTATGAAACAAGGCTCGCGGAGGTGGAAACAGAAAGAAAGTCGCCCAAATCGAAGTTTAACAGATGAATATCAGTTGTTTAAGGTCCCTCGGTGAAGTCTATTCGGACGTGAGGCGGCGGCGTGTGGGTAAATGCTCCCAGATCTGAGCCCGACAGCCCGGATCCTTTCCCCGCTGCGCCAGTTTTGAGCCCTCCCTCCTCTTCCCGCCTTGAATTCACGTTTCGCTTCCATTTGCGTTCAGGGACGTGAAGGTCCCGCAAAGGCGATTTTTAACTCGCTGTTGAAAACACTTCCTTGGTTTTTATAACATAATTATGACTGCGGCAGGATTTTATAAATAACACAGCAGCGATGCCGTTTCCGCGTGTGGTGTTATCAAGTTCCTAATACCCCGCACGTCGCTTTTTCTGCAGGGATCATTCATAATTCATCCCGACATCAGACCTGTTGGCAAGTTGCTCTTTCCAGGTTCCCTCTGTCTCCGCTTTCAGCTTGGTGGAGATCTGATGCCCGGCATCTCTTTCGTCATGCTTTTTAAAGTGTTTTGTCAGTTCTTCGGGTGTAAAAATGAGGTGAGAAACTACGACAGGATCAAAACCACCCTAAATGTGTGTTAAATCATCCTCTAGAGTGCTGATTGCTCTGTACTGAAAACCGAGCGAGTCCGGATGAACAACTCGGAAGGGTTTAGGCAGCTAAAAGTTATTCCTGAGAAAGATTTCGTTGGATTCGTGACGTTAACGAGTTGCCTAAGAGCTGGGATCTTCCCTTCACCTTGCACAACTATTAATAAATTAAAGCTGCTGAGCGTGTTGCAGCTTTAGAGAAGTTTTGTCGGGGATTTTTACCGTTATATGGTATAAAAAGGAATGAGTTCTCGCAGTTCTTGAATATTTGGGGTTTTATAAATAAACCTCAGGTGTAGCTGGCTCAGCTTAGGACCAGCCCCTTTGTTTTTAATTCTCTGCGTGTTGAGAATCGTACGGTTCCACGCGAGTGGGTTTTTGAGGAGAGCACCCTTTACAGTCAAGCCTTGCGTAGGAGTGTGTGATTTATAGATTTAATTTAAATACTTTGTGATTCCAGCAGAAGACAAGCTTTATTCTCCCTGGATAAAGTCCTTTGTTGAAATCAGCGGGAGAACCTCGGACCTCCGCTTTCGGAAGGAATTGCCTCCTGGGCCCCTGCTTTTTTTTCTGCAGGCTTTAAGCTTAATTTCTCAGCGCTTCACATAGGCTGAACGACGTAAATCACTTGATGTTGCTCCGTCACCTCCGGATTCGCGCTCCGCTTGTACACGAGTGCGGAGAAAAATGGTTCTCAAGCTTTTCCCCCAGCTCAAGGAGCGCTGTCTTGGGAATCAGCTGGGAACCGGGACACGCGGTGCATTCAGCTCGGTAAAATTCACCGCTTGCTCCCTTCCGAGTTGTTTTTTTTTCCCCGCTCTGCACTTTATTTCGTGTTTATTTTCCCAAGAGAAGGCGATGATGATTTATTCCACTGATTTTTTTTCCCCTCCTGGGGGATGTTTACGCTGCTGCAGAGCTGACGGGTACAACCTCTGCTCGTTGGTGCAGAGTCATTAATACCCAAGTGTCTCCTCTAGTGGGTTTTTTACATAATATTTAGTTTCAAAATCAGACGTTGAACTCTTAATTACCATGTTCTTAAGTTGTACTGAAAGATTGAGATCTTTGCTTAACCCAGATTTCTTCATTCCTTGAAAGGGTACGATAATTGTGGTAATACCTATATGAACGTAACGTGCCCTACGTCTCAGCAAGCCCAACGCCAACGTGCACGCACGGAACTTAAAAGCGGGGAGCTTTATCCTATAGAATCTGGAGGTACAAAGAGGTGGGAACTCTCTTTGGCTGAAAAACGCTGCATTTCGGGCCGAGCAGCCTCCGTTTTCCTCGAGGTTTTGTGCTGGGGCCAGGCTATTTTTGCCTCCTGAATTAATGTACCCGAGGTTTTATCCGAGACGGCTTAAAAATCGAAGGAGCGGAGCTCGCTTTTGATCCGACGTCTGTGTGTGGTTGTAAGCGCGAGGGCTGCTGCTATTCTTGGCGCTGCCGGTTGAGAAACGGGGCGACCTGCCCGGAGAAAAGCTTCCCTGCGCTGGCTTCGCTTTCTCTTCCCGTGTTTTTTTTTCTCCGGCCGGGAGCTCGGCGTGCGCTGGGATGGTGCCTGTGACAAGCAGGGGTTTGGTGTCCCTTGGCGTCACTCGGAACGATGGCGTGCGCTCAGCAGTTTGTTTGCAAGAGGTGAGTTAACGTGCTGGAGGAGGGAGCGTTAACATTGACTGTGGATTTAAAGTCAGGCTTCGGGGTGGCTGCGGTCGAGGGAGCGGAGGATTGTCCTTGATTTCTGTGCTCCGTCTCCACCTGATCCTTCCCACCGGCAGCTGGAAAACCGCATCCCGGCGCCATCCTGCTCCCGCTGGAGAGCGAAGCTGAGCGGCGGGTGCCTCGACCTGCAAACGCCACCGGTGGGAGAGGAAGTTATTCGGTGATAAGGCTGCGATTCAAAAAGGCGTTTACGTGTTGCAGTTCCTGTTTTGCTGGTGCTGCGGTTTCTATAGGAGTTCAAAAATACAGCGGTCACCATTTTGCCCGCGATTTCTTTAGGTTCTGTGTGCTTAAGGGTGACTGCCCACGAAAAAAATAAAGCCGTTAAGAGGGAGAGGGGTCCTGTACGTCCTTGGGGGGTGTTAGATGGGTTTGGGCAGGGAGCTGGGGGCTGCGAGAGAAAAGTTTTGTAAAATCGGGGGCTGTCTTGAAAAGTAAATGTTCTGCAAAATTGGGGGCTGTTGCCAAAAAGGAAAAAGTTCTTGGAAAAGTGGGGGCTGCCTCCAGAAAATACAAGCTTTGCAAAACGGGGGGCTGTCTCCAGAAGTATAAATGCTTTGTAAAAGCGGGGGCCGCCTCCAAAAAATACAAGTTTTTGCAAAATCGGGGGCTGCCACCAAAAATAGAAAAGCTTTGCAAAATTGGGGGCCACCTCCAAAAAATACAAAAAGCTCTACAAAATCGGGGGCTGCTGCCAAAAGTACGTAAAAGCATGGCAAAATCGGGGGCTGCCTCCAAAAATAGAAAAGCTGTGCAAAATCGGGGTCTGCCTCTGAAAAAGACAAGCTTTTGCAGAATCGGGGGCTGTCTCTGGAAAATAATGTTCTGCGAAATTGGGAGCCGACTCCAAAAATAAGAAAGCTTTGTAAAATCGGTGGCCACCTCCAAAAATATAAAAGTTTTGCGGAATCGGTGTCTAAGGCGCAGAAAAGCAGCCTGAACCTTCAAAGAAGGAAGGAAGGAAGCGGGCGTGTGTGATTTTTGGCTCTTCCTCAGCTGGGGAGCGTTTGGAGGGAGATGAGGTTGCTGAAGGGAAGGGAAACTGCAGGTAGGGGCGGGGGGGAGGCAGGGCCAGGAAAGAAATGTGGAGAAGTTTGGGGTGATACAGCGGGTGTGGAAATAATTCGGATCCGCAGGAAGCCGGGCATCGGTAGTTCTGCTTGGGGACCAACTTCTGTTTCTGATCAGAATAATAAACAAAGATGAAAAAAAATGGTTCTCCTGCAGAGAAATGGCAGCCAAGACTCTTGGAAACGTTTTCAGCGCAACACCCAGCGTATGGCTTTTGATGTCAAAATTTAATGTAGACGATCTCAAGGTTTCGTTGCAGCACGGAGTTTATGAAGAACAGATTTACCCAGCTCTTTGCAGCTCTTTCGGGGATCACTGTGGTGCCGGGGATGCGGATTCCACCCTGGAAACTTCAGAAAAGGTTTAAAAGGGAGAGATGATTTATTTTGGCGAGGAAAAACAGATCACGGCAGCTGCTGTGAAAAGAAAAGAGCGGGTGAAGTCGCGGCGGGAGCTCCTGCGTGTCGTGGCCCTTTGCTGCTGCTTCTACCTGGGCAAGTGCTTCGTCCTGCCGCCGTTTCAGAGTGAGAGACCGGAGCGAAGCCACCTCGTTAGCGCAAATCTTGCAATTGGTGCTGAAAAGTGGAGGGAGCTCGGTTTTCTTTTATTGGCTGGTATAATAGCAGTACCCACCTGGGATCACGTACAAGGATATCCGATATTCCCTAGGAAAAAGGATGCTTCTGCTGGTGTAACACAATCAAAACGTCTGTTCTCGATGCCGGTTCCGTTCTTCGGATGATTTATCCCGCAGATTTTCTCCTGTATAAACGTAGCTTTGCACCGTCGTTACATCAAGCACCTCTTAAAACGGATTTCTCCTTCAAAACACAGCGGGGTTTTGTTGTTTGTTTGTTTGTTTGTTTGTTTTTCTAATTCAAGACATCTCGTTGACCTTCAGATTGCTGAAACAATCTGAAATAAAGCATCGGGCAAGCTTCAGGCGTGGTTCCCAGACAATAAAAAGCCCCAGCGCAGCTGTAATTAGAGACGTTATTGGTTCTAGGGAAGAAACAAACCCTGTGATAACAGCAGAGATGATCCTTCTAATAGCGCCATTCTTTTTCTTGCAGGTTATGGCACCTGGAACACTGGGGCCACCAACACTCCAGGTGAGTCTTTGTGTATCTAAAAATATACCTAGGGAATTGCAATTTTAGCGCAGAACTCATTTTTTCTTCTTGCTAGCCAGAGTAGCGTAATACAGAAAGAGCTTTTGCAGCCTGCCTTCTCCTCTGCCAGCTTTAGTGACTTTCTGCTTGGTGTTTTTTGGTAAGAGCTTCCTCCCTCATCTCGCGATACGCTCCGATTCCCACCGTCGTACACTGGAGGAACTGGTCGCAATCTTGCGTGTGATTAATACCCTGCTTTGCTTTCTCTCCTGAGATTTATTAGCGCTGCGAAACGAAGCGTGTCCTGGGGTATTTGGGAGTTGGGGCTCTCTCCTTTGAACTCCTTCCCAGCCTAAACAACAGTAGAAGCAGCGAGAGGCTCCTGAAAGTGATGGTTATAACGAACGTATTTGCTTTTGCCGTGGTTTTACTGCTGCTTGAGGGTTTTTATTGAATCATTTGAGTTGTTTTCAAGTGCAAGTATTTGAACGTGTTTCAAAAAACATATTAAAAAAAGTGTATATTATCCATTTCATTTTCATAATTGGCTCTTGGAAGTCCCAGCTTCTTTCCCGTTCTGTGCAAAAGGATCCGTCGTTTTTACCAGCAATTAAACGGAATTATATGCATTTAGTCTCTGAACTTTGCTGCTTTTAGAGCTGAACCACTCTTTTCTTTTTGCCCCGTTCAGGTACATACGCAACGAATGCGACGAGTTGGCAAGGTACGTGCTAAAAAACCTCTTTTATCTCCGGGCGTTGGGGTGCCCTGCTCAGTCTCTCGAGTTGGCTGCAGCGAGCGGAGCTGTTTTCCAGCTCGTAAACTGCCTCCGCTTGGAAGTTGGTGTGAAGTACGCCACGCCGCGCTTTTAAACCGCTCCTCCTCACTAATCCATTTATTTATTTCTACCTTGCTCCGTGATTGCGGCTTTTACTTCTGCGAAGGGAGCAGCTCTGTCCTGATGACTGGCAGCCGTCTTTTCCTTAAAGCAGAAAGATTAGCGCGTGGATGAGAACGGTTCATTTATTTCACGTCTCCGTTTCTCTTTTGAGCTGGGACAGCCCGATGCATGCATTAATAAAATGATTGTACTGAGACGATACCGTTTTCCCCTCAAAACCCAGGGTTCGCCCTCGTCATTCTGGCAGCCTGACGGTACACAAATGCACTTCTCGATGAGCAAGCTGGCGCTTCCCCAACAGAACATGATTTGCTTTCACTAATAAACTTTCCCTCTCGGAGCAATTAGTTAATTGGCCTTGATTTGGGTCCTGTGGCTGTTTTAAGCCGGTCTTAACACGTTCCCAAGCAAAAGCCTGAGATTCTTTCAGAAATTATTATTTCTTTGGTCCTCACAATATAAAACTGAACGCTGCACGTTGGGCTGTGGATTCCAACCTCCCAGCTCAAGTCATTGGTGAAAATGAAGGGTTGTTTTTTTTTTCTTCTATTAATTCCTCTTTTTTGTAAAGCCTGGGTGCCCCTGTTGAGGACTCGCGCCCCGTTGTGCTGGGTATTGTGCCGACGCGGAGCAGAAAGGCTGATCCTGCTCCGGAGACCTTATAATCTAAATAAAAACACAAGTCGCAGGCAGGTGGGGGGATACAAAGACACGATGAGGCGGTGCCGGTCAGCACAACCGGCATCGGCACACCGGCGGCCGTAATGATGTCAATTTTACCGCAGGCGTCGCAGAAAAGGAGAATTAAGGGGGATTATTACAGCGGTCACTTTAGGAGAGCCCTAGGAGCGATACAGCAAAGGGTTTGGCAGGTCAGAAGCAGCGAGAGGAAGCTTGCCGCGTAGCCCGTGGCACGTGTGTCTCTGCCCGAGTGATGACGGATTCGAGCCGGGGCTGTAGAGTTGCGACAAGGATTGTCGGGAGCGCGTGCGCATCCCTTAGGCTGGATCTCGGGGTCCCGTGAAGCGTCCGGCAGCTTCACGAGCGCGGCCGCGGCACGTTGCTTTTTCTGCCGTGCCGTGGTATCTTGCCACAAGGCGCTCTCTGAATACAACTCGCTGCTTTGATTTTCTGATTTAATTTATTTCATCGTGGTCCTTTTTTGATGGATACGTGACGATGTCCCCGGCAGCACGTCGGCTTTGTGTTTTCTTGTGTTGTTTTTGTGGGACCGTGCGATGTAAACGGGGCTCAGGGTCCCGCAGCATGGACTGAGCTTGTTAAAAAATCACAAATACAACCAGCAGCGCTCCGTTTCTGCAGTTAAAATCACCCAAAGGAAGAAGGTCCTTACGCTTTTAGGGTTGGGCAACAAGAATCTTTGGTATTTCTCATTTTAAGAAACCGGATTTCCTTGAAAGGAGGTAAAACCCAGCTGCAGCCTTGCCTGGTAGAACCTGTTTGCGTCTAAACTCTTCCTCCGAGTACCCAAGTCTTTATAATATTGTATTGATATCAATTTTATTTTCTTTTCCTGCCAGGTTATGAAGGTTACGACTATTACAACACCCAAACCACCGCCGCTAATACAGCGGCCACGTACAACTACGCCGCAGCTGCTGCCACCTCCAGCAGCTGGGAAACACCCAAAACTTCGGATATGAGCATGAACGCCGACGTCAACGCCGCCATGCCCGTCGCCTCGTACGGCGCCGAGACTTCGGCGAACGAGAACTCGGATTCCATCATAGCCAAGATCAACCAGCGTTTGGACATGCTGTCGAAGGAGGGCAGTGGTGGGACAGGGGAGGGGATGGAAGATCAGGAGAGGTGACTATTCCACTTCTTATTTATTTTTAATAGTAAAAAAATAATGGCTTTTAATCGCTATAAGTTCGGATTAAGCTGTTCTAATTGCGTAGGCACGATCCAGCGTTCGTTCCCTGGAAAATGAGCTTAACTGCTTATTTTTTACCTGTCCTCGTGTATGTGCGCACGTGCACTTACATATTTTTTATCTCTCTCTCTCTCAAACATGTCGAACTTGATGTACGCATCAAGCATTAAAAGCGACTTCCATTGTCGATTCAATTCCTAGATTTTGCAGAAGGCTATTTATTTATAGTTTTTAGGTTTCTTAAAGTATACTTTTCTTCTGCGTCCCTTTTTCCTCGTGGCTGCCCGGTAATTATTTTTTTTTCTCCCCCCGGGTTAAATTACGCCGGTCTGGAGAGTTGATTCTTATCAGTGTGTGTTTTGCTGCTGAAGTAGTAATACAGACCTTGGCAAGAATTACTGCATAAATGAAGCTTTGCCTGTTTTTTTAGCTTTTACCTGGGGCAGCTTTAGGGATCTGCTTTTCTGCCAGTAAAACATAATTCAGAGTGGTTCAGTGCTGTGAAGTTGATGAAGTTACAACATCTCTGAAGGATTTCTGTTCAGATACTCGTGCAGAAAAGCACAGTTCTTTGATATTTAATTTCCCCGAGACGAGGGAAAAGGTGGAGTGGGATGCAGAAAGTGATCAGTACGCAGGGTTTAAAAATATTTTTATCCCATTTTTGTGGCCAAAACCGTTTGGGTTGTGATAGAAATGGATGCAAACGCCTGTGTGATGTGCACGGATGTTATTTTAGCTGCTGACCGTTGTCTCCTCCTGCGCAGCTCTTTCAGATTTGAGTCTTTCGAATCGTACGACTCGAGGTCTTCAATGAACGACCGCGACGTGTACCGATCCGGCTACGATTACGGAGAAGTCGGAACCGATCGCAACGATTCCTTCGGGAGCCAGTTCGATAACCGCAGGGATCAATCTCGCAACCGAGGAAACAACTACGGCCTCATCCGAGGACGGGGTCAAAACCGCGTTCAAAATCGCGGGCGTCTAAACGCTTTCAACCGCACCGACCACTTCATGCCCTCCTCCAGCTCCGAGCGCCTCTCGGCTCGTTGGAACGAGTTGAACTACATGGGTGGGCGCGGGATGGGGGGTGCCGGATCCAACAGGCTCCCTTCCCTCTTTTCCCAAGCCCTCGTTCCCGACTACGGCGACTACGGAGACTACGGAGATTACGGCGACTACGGCGACTATGGGGATTACGGTGATTATGGCGACTACGGAGATTATGGTGACTACGGAGACTATGACTATGGCATGATGGGGATGTCGGGCATGGGAATGGGACGGTATGGGAATATGCCGTATGGAATGGGGAGGCAACGAAACAGAGACAGGATGGGTACGGTGCCCTGGCACATGAACGCACTCATGGTAAGTCGTCGCCGTCGTTTTTGGTTTTTTCTTGCGAAGATTGCTTTTTGCTTGCCTCGGTGGGTAGGCTTCGCTGTTCAGCTGTACTGGAGAAGCACCCGTCTTAATTCCCATTGCTTCCACCACGGAATAATTTAAATCTTCCTGGATAGAGCGGAGGGTCACCAAGCTTGTATAGACCCATTTGCACGTAAAACAGAGCCTCTGAATGCTTCCCCCATCCCAAACCCGCTCTCTAGGGGCGCTAACCCAGCTATAAAATCCTTTTATAGCCAAAAATAAGTCTGCAAGGTCACAAGAATTTCAACTTTTTCAGGAGGTGTAGCAGATGGGTGGAATACTTTGATTTTAAAGCTTTCTTTGGTGCCTCAGGTTGATCGATACAACTGATTTCTTCCCGCTTTAGCCCAAGAGAAGAGGTTTCCGAAACCGTTCAGGAGGGCGATCGGACGGCGAGGGAGGAGGACGCAAGCGAAAACAGTCACAAAGCGGAGATGAGCCGGACAGCAAACAGGCGAAGACCGACAGCGAAGGAGACGACACCGAGAACGGTACGCGCTGTCTTCACCCGCTAATATTGGCCGTTTCCCCCCGTTTTTAAGTGGTTTTTCTTTCAGCTGACTGATAGTTGTTACATTTCAAAGCTGTGGTATTTTTTTCAGTCGTTAGCGTTGTTATAATACTCCTGCAAGTGCACAGGCTTTATGATCTGTGCATCTTGTGGCCTGGGACAGAAAATGTAATGCCCGAGGTGAGCACTGTGAAAGTAAGGACAGAGTTTGCAGCGGAGATTGACGGGCAAAGAGAAACCAGCGAGCCGGTTGCGATCTTCGCTGGGGTTTTGAGCCGTTATCCCACTACTTGGTGGTTTATTAGCGGTGGGGCCCCCCTTGGAGTGTTAAGTGGGAGAAAAGAGCCCCCAGCACCAGCTGAATGGTTTTTCTTTTGTCCAGCAGATGAGGGCGAAGGAGAGGAAAAATCAGGAGATGAAGCTGACAAAGGTGTAAGTAACTCTTTTTTTATCAGCCTTCGTGGCAAACGTGGGAATATTTAAGCACTCGAGCGATTTCCTCTGCTTTTTTTGACCGCGCTGAGGGTCAGAATATTTAAAATCGCCCAGAAACAGCGTTTTGAGCCCATACGTTGCGGAGGTATTTGCTCCTCATAATTCCCCCACGCCCTTCGGCAGGGTTCACCGGCAGAGTCGCTTGCCCTGAGGTGCCTGAAAAGCACTTGTAGTGGAAAGGTTAGGATCCTGCGCCGGCGGTTATGCTTCTGGCGAGGCTCGTTAGGGCTAAATTCCAATTAGTGGTTGGCTTCTTTCCTTGTCGCTCGGTTTGCTGGGTTGGTTGGGGGTTGTTGCCATTTGTTTTACTTGTGACTGCGTGTAACCTTCGGTACGGTGTTCCTCGGAGCGGCGACTCGGCTGCCAAGTATTTAAATTTCGATAGCGAGAAGCGATACTTAGCGGCGACGTATAACCCGATACATGGAAAACAACTGTTCTGTAAACACTTAGAAAAACGGACGTTTAATCCCCAAATGACCCAACCCTTCGCCCGCTCTGCGGTCTGGCTGGGTGGGCTGTGAAACCTCCAAATGGCAGTGAATGACACCGGCGTCTTTTTGTGTTTCTCTTTTCCAGGAGAACGGGAATTGGGGCTGTTTGGCGGAGGAAGGTAGGGTGTTGCCACCCCTCACGCAGTCCTCCTGGACTAATCCTACTCGGAATCCATCCGCTTCGCCTCGGGGCGCTACCGAGAGCTCGATTTGTTTGTTCGGTCAGAAGCTGATGCAGCTCCTGCTGTGACCTGTTAACCAGCCCAGGGCTCCGGCGCCGCCTGTCATGGCACAGAAGCGCCGCGCTGGTTAGCAGGGGAGCACCAAAACAGGTTTCGTTTCTTCTGGGCTTCTCGGCGCGGACGGTTATCGGGTATTAGTTTATCTTCCTGCCCTGCTTGGAGCACGGCGGTGAGGATGCACGCGTCTCGCAACGGGGCAGGGCAAAAATACCGTAAACTGAATCATTTTCAGTGGAGGCTTCAGCCATGAGCTGAACCTCGTTTTGTTTGGATTTTTTCAAATGGATGGGACGATGTGAAGGTCGATAGAACACTAATTTAAAAACCATGTGGTCTAAAGTAGCTGAAACCACTTCAGCTGGTTCTGGATCGTAACTTTCGGTAAAGGCACATCAACCCCTTGTGCCTTCTGCGTTAGAGTGACGTGGGGAAAACCACGTTGTGGGACTTCGGTTGCCACTTTTCAGTTATTCTCAGGTTTGAAACGAGGTGTCGTTGGATGTTATCGTTCTCGTTTAAGCCTCCCTCTGACGCCCGGGTCTGGTTTCCAGGCTCCTTTACCTGGAAATGTTGCAGGTGAATTATTACCCGAGTCCTGTGAGGCTGACAGACCTCTGACTCGGAGACCCCGAAACACTGCAGAGATCAGGTCAGCTGAATCTTTAGGGGTTTTTTGTGCTTTCCCGGAAATTATGGAGGAATTATTGGGAAGGCGACGTGAGGAGTGTATCCAGAACTGCCCCAAAGAAGCAGAACTGCTACTCGAGCACTGCTAGCATCTCGGCTGGTTTTTGTCGCTTAACTTTCTCGAGGAGCTGCTTCAGCCTTGTGAAAAATAGATGAACGGGGAAAAAATGAGAATATGGGGAGAAGTAGCAGCCCCTTCCAAGGAAGGGAGATAGAGCAGTGTCTTTGCAGCATTGTAAAAGTCAGGACTCTCCACTAACGGCGTGTCCCGTCGCTGCCTACGAAGACTTTGAGTTGCTGTGGGAAGTTCAGGGAGCTGGAGGAGAGGAGGGTTTGGGTTTTACGATGACTGCTGGAGACCTTGGAAAGAGGCTGCCGCTTCCCTGCGGTCGGAAGCTGGCTTGGGAGAGGGGGAGCTTCCGGAGACCGAAAGAAGTTGTGACTTCCCAAAGCTGAGAGTAAAGAGGAAACCAAGGGATTTGGGTCCCAAAATACCTCAGCCGGTGAAGTGAGTGATTGTGGACACAGGAATTCTGATTGATTCCCCCCCCCCTCCCCTAGCATCTGGAGATGGCTGTGAAGACGACGACGAGGAGGTGAAAAAGAAGAGGGAGAAGCAGCGGAGAAGGGATCGGATGCGTGATCGTGCTATGGACAGGTAAGGAGAGCGAAAAGCCAGTCCGTTCCTAGCACTTCTACGAATAATACTGACCGAGGGTATTCCTCTGCACAAATGTGGGATAAATCTGCTGGGGGGTCGTGTTTTGGGGCTCCGCGTTCTGATTTCAGCAGGGTTTTTTTCCCTTTTTGCGTGTTTTATGACTGTTTTTAAGATGAGGAGGATACTGTGGTGTTTAATACATAGCTCAGTGTAGAGTTACAAGTTCAGAAGGGCTTTTTAGGTGGCTATATGTGCAGCCTTGCTATTAAAATAATACAGTAAGTGATCTAAAGACAGACTAACCAGCAAAGGCGGCACCAGCGTTTCTGTACCTCGGGGCTTTCCCCCACCGGGGAGAGGATCTTCGCGTTGAAGAGTGCCGATTCACCCCCTGCCCTGTGAATTGGTCCAGTTGCTTTTAAACTCGGGCAAGGTTTTCACGTCCGTAGCGTAAAGTTTTATGGAGTAGTAGGTGCTGTTTAATCCGTGCAGGTTCTACAGCGATTGTAAAGGTCCAAGGCAAAGTAAAATTGTGTGGAGTGGCGCTTGGAAAAAATTTAGAGGTAGAAAAGTACAACAGGGGCGGTAACGGTCGCAACTTCTTGATACTCTCGTTAAGCTGAGCTCGTTCCTCACTTGCGGTACGATTGCTCTGTTTAGAATCCAGTTTGCCTGTTCCGTCTGCAAGTTCCGCAGTTTTGAGGAAGAGGAGATCCAGAAACACCTCCAGAGCAAGTTTCACAAGGAGACCTTGCGCTACATCGGCACCAAACTCCCGGATAAAACGGTCGAGTTCCTGCAGGTAGGTGGGTCGCCTGGAGTTAGCTCAAGCCTTCCCTGCACCCCTGCTGGGATTTCCAGGCTGAATTTGGGATTTCCAGGCTTACACGGGGACTGGGAGGGGTTACGGATTCATCCGCATGCAGCCCCCTGCTTGGTTGGCTCGCGTCACTGCTTGTTAGCGCATCACCCGATGACGTCGCTTTGCATGACGTGGTTTCTCACGGGTTTTCGTGTTGGGAGGGAAAGTTAATGGTGTGAATTTGAACAGAAAGGCCAAAAATTAATATTCCAGAGATTGTCTTTGCCAGCTCTACATCTAGAGCTGAGGAAGGAGAGATGAGAACTGAGGCATTTCATTTTCTGGATGACCAGTGTTTGCGTTTTGGGGGCATTTTTCAAGGATTTGGGGTCTCCCACAGGGAATCTGATGGTGACATGGGAGCAGGCTTCTGTTTGGCTCCGATTTGGATCTTTTCCGGCTCTTGCTCTGGTAGAAACGGCAGAGGACGGGGAGGGGAAAACACCCGGCTTGCCTAGTTAATTCACCAACCGCGGTCTTCCCTGTGGGTTTTCCCTGGAGAGCTCGTTTCCCTTTGGAGCTACTCGATCGTCTCGGTGCGTTGCGTGGAGGACAGCGAGTTTTGTCCCCTTCCCTTCTAGGAGTACATCGTCAACAGGAATAAGAAAATCGAGAAGCGACGCCAGGAGCTGACCGAGAAAGAGGGCACAAAACAGAAGCCGGATCCTTTTAAGGGTAAGCGTCCGTTCTGCGCCCAGAGACCGAGCGAGTGTGCAAGAAAACAAATAACTACTGCTCCCAAAGAGAGAACAGCAGCACAAACGGGAAGGATTTGGGTAACTCAGCCTCGGGTTCCGGGTGGTTATTTTGCCAACTTTGTGAAATACATCGTCTTGGCGGGGAAGGGGGAATACCCGTCCTCACTGCAGTTTCTCAAGCAGCCGATTCATGAGGCTCGTGCGATGTCGGAGATACTAGAAGGAGGTAAACGGGGGAAAACTCCCAGGAACTGTTTTTTTTTGTGGCTGTTCGGTTAATGCGGCTGGATCCTGTGTTCGCTTTTAACGTTGAAAGAAAGCAGCGAAGTTGATCTGTTGTGGCAACAAGCGTGATGGGGGAAAAAATCCGCTTAGCTTCGTCAGCGTGCCTGCAGCACCCGGCCACGTCTGCACTGGGAGTGATGAGTGGAGTTTAGTTAAGCCACGCGTCGGCTATAAAATCTTGCAGGCAGAAAACCTCAGCCTAAGTAGGGAGGAGGAACGAACCCAGAGCTGGGGGAAGAGCGAGTTGTCCCTTCCACCTCTATTTAAATGTATTTTTGGAGAGGCAGGCTGGTTTTGGGAGGAAAACAGCCTCGGTAAGTCGATGGCTGTGTACCTCGGGCTGTTATCGCCGTCTCTCTTCCTCCTACGCTTGGGTGCTGCATCGGTACGATCTGTTTTAGAGCAGAATAACTCTCTTCCCCGTCTTAGAGCAACGTATGTGATTTTTTATTTTTTTTCTCTGTGAAAGCAGAAACTGGAAGGAATATGGGTGCTGAATTAGCGTGTTGGCCGTGACGTGGGGTCGTTAGAGGGGGTGGAAAGGCGCCCGCAACGTTAACCGGCCGAACGTCTCATTTGTTTGGGATTTTGGCTGACGCCTCGTCGTCGCTGTAGGTATTGGCCAGGAACACTTCTTCAAGAAGATCGAGGCGGCTCACTGCATGGCGTGCGACATGTTGATTCCCGCGCAGAACCACCTTCTCCAGAGGCACCTGCGATCTGCCGATCACAACAGAAACCGCAGGGTAAGCAACCCTGCTCGCTTCCGAACTGGAGCGTTTGGGCTCTGCCGGGGCGAGGGGATGTGTCCAGGCACTCGAGGTTTATTTGCGGCTTCTAAAAAAAACCACCTCGTATGGTCTCGGATCGCACCACGAGATGAAGCCCGCCGGCCGGGGAGCTGTAAGGGGTTGTGGGATGCCTGCGGACAGGCTGCGCGGGGTTTGCTCTTCTGGAGGGAAACACGAGCCGATGGGAAGTGGGAAGGTGAACAGAAAAAGTGATATTAAAAGGGAGATCCGATGTGCGGACTAAACGCTTCCTCTTTCTAAATTTGCAGTGCTCGCTAGAAATTAAAATTAAAAATTGCCTTTGAGGGCGCGTGGGGAATTCATAAGTGAGACGTAACCGATGTCTAAATTGGCCCAGGCTGGAGCGGGGCTTTGGACGTTGCGGACGGAGACGGGGTGAGCTGCGGTGAGCGCCGCACGTCCCTCGGGGTGGTCTTCGTCTCCTCTGTCCTTGGGCGTTTGGCGTGAAACGTCGCTGTCCTGGACTTGATCTTGGGGTATCTGGGGGATGTTCCGGCTGCTGGTGCTGAAGCAACGTCTTTCTCCCGGGCCCGTGTTAGCGGAAGAGATGCGGGTGCGCCCCTGCATCCGCTGTTTGTGATGTTCTCTGGGATCTGAGACCAGGCTTCCCAAGCCCTGCAGAGGAGGAGGGGATGCGAACTCTCGAGCCGAACTCCTCGTTGGAACTCTTCCCCCTTTGAACTGACCCCGATGTTCGGTTCCTTTTCAGATGGCTGCGGAGCAATTCAAGAAAACCAGCTTACACGTCGCCAAGAGCGTCCTGAATAATAAACACATCGTAAAGATGCTGGAAAAATACCTCAAGGTGAGTGAACGAGAGAGTCGGCAACTCCTGCCGAGTTCCCGGAGCAGCGGGGTCGGGCTCCGCCTTGGTCCCGGAGCAGCACGGAGCCGCGTCTCGCTGTGTGCTGCGTGTCGGTGACGGGACGCCTTGCTGCGTACGGTGGGGAGAAGCGTAGGTTCCACTCCGCTGCCTTTTTATCTCTAAATCTTGGGTCTGGTTTCTTTTCTTTGTAGGCGGTTTACCACTTCTCGTGTTTTTTTGGGTTGTTGTTTTTGGTTTTTTTTTTAATTTATTTAACTCGCAGACTGTACCTACTGTCATTCCCAGGCGCGTGTAGATCAATTACGAAACAGTCCAAAACGGAAACGTAATTAAAGAAACCAAACAAAGTAGCGAAAGGAACTCCGGTTCCCCAAAGCCGCCCCTCGAGCTGTGGCCTTGGCCGGGGGGGGACGCGCCAGGTTCCCCCCAGCACAGGGGAAGCCAGCGCTTGAGTCCCGCCGGGATCGAGTCCGACGTGGGTGGCTCCTGGCCCACCCGCTAATCCTGCGCCGGGGGGAGGGAATTTTTCCCCTGTATAAAGAGCCGGGCTCCGCGGCGCTCCCGGCGGCTCAACCAAATGACGGAGCACCCCGAGGAGGGGCGCATCCAAAAAAAACCTCCTTAGCCTCCCCTCCCCCCCCCCTCCCCTTTTTCCTCCTCTTCCCTTGGGAAGTGGCAGAGGACGCCCCAGCCGATCTTCAGAGCCGAGACGGAGCACGAGGAGAGGTCAGGGTAGGGTTCGCTTAAGCCCAAACCAGCGTTCGGAATTACAGAAAGAAGCCCGGAAGGCAAGCGCAGTCTTCAGAGCACGGGGGGTAATCCGCTCCGGGCGGGAACGCCGGGCGGTTATGCCCGGCCTAAAGCGCCTCGCGGTAACCGCGGGTCCGGAGGCGGCGTGGGTTTAACGGGCGAGGTCCCGCATCCGAGAGAGAGGAAAGGTCGCAACCTCCTCCGCCAGGCGAAGATGAAAAAGAAGCGCTTTTGGCTACTTGCTTGTTCCCTGGGAATCCGGGAGCAGCCCAGGATCCGGCAGGAGAACCCCTTGTTTGCGAACCTGGTAGACGAGGGCAGGCAGATGCCCACACACACCCCCCCCCCCCCCCCGGGGGGGGACTAATGTTGTAAAAAGTGTAAATCTACTATCAAATATTTTTATGAATCTGTAAAGTTATGGCACTATAACAGAATGCCCCGGCCCCGGCAAACCTAAACAAAAAAAAAAAAAAAAGACCCCAAAATAAAAAAAACTGCGACTCCACCCTCTGGGTCCGGTGAAAAGAGACTTTGAGCTGAGAGTTTGTCGGCGTAGGACGGCCGTCTCTCCCCTCAAACCGGCCTCTCATACACGTTGAACAGGAGGGTGAGATAAAAACCCTGCGGTACCCCACAGGAGAAAAGAGAGAGCGAGCCCTCGGGGCAGACGAGGTGCAAACCTCTGGGATCTCTCAGTGAAATTTAAAAAAAAAAAAAACCAAAACACAAAAATAAAAAAAAAAATAACCCCCCCAAAAGACCGGAACCACTCAAGTGCAACTCCGTCTACCCCTGCCAGGGTCCGCAGGCACGTCCACATCTCCTCATGATCAACGGTATCAAAGGCTGCCGGCAGATCTAAATGAATCAGCACGGGCGCCTGACCTTTGTCCATCGGCAGGAGGAGATCTTCGGATCCATCCCAGCACGGTCTCCGTATCATTCCCAGGTGCAAAACCAGACTGAAAAGGGGTGGAGGAAAATCTGAGGATTCCAGGTAATGCCAAGAGCCGCCTCGCCATAAACGTTCTCGGCAAACCTTCCCCCAGAAAGGAAGGCCGGAGACGCAGGGCGATTAATTAATCAAGACTTGGCCGCATCAAGAGATGATTTCTTGACCATCGGCCTAAGGATTCCTCCTTGGAGGGAAGGAGGGACACCTCGCCCTTCCCAAGGGAAGCCGTGACAGTCTCCACCACGAGTGGGCTTCACATCCCCCGGTAGCTTTTACCGGCGATAACGGACGTTGGGGTCCAGATCGCGAGGTAGAGCCCGATAGTTTTATATCCCACCCACCC